ATAGGGAAAATATCCCATTATATAATAAAGACCAAGATAATTTTGGAAATGCTGTTGGTCCTTTATAAATCAATTATGCCTCATTCTCTGTTCTTAGAGCTAAGATCTGTAATATTAATAGGCTTTGAGAAAATTCCAGAGATTGTTTACCATAGGAAATTGTATTCATTGCTTAACCTGGTTGGTTATAAACAAGCATTATTACTGGAGTAAGGCTGCAGTACAATTCCACTTTCATGGTACCACACATTCCTTAACACCATTTTCACAGAAGTTGAAATTTAGAAATTGAAACACAGATAGCTTTTGCTCTTTTGTTTCCATTTCATGAAATTTATTCTACAGAGGTAGAATATGCCTGAGCATATAAAGGTGTAGGGGTGTGAGGGTGGAGAAAGGGGTAGTCACTACAGCTGATAGAAGAAATAAATTAATAGCAGTAAAATTGGACATGTTAGCATGTTCCTGTAGTCCCAGCTATTTGACCCCAGTCGTCTAAGACCAACCTGCGCAACATGCTCACAAAAAGAGCAAACAAAATAAATAGCAGTAAATAAAACATAATCTAAATATCCCAAAATGGAGCAGAACCTAAGCAGCCATTAAAAACAAAGAAGTATTAATGTGGAGAGAGACCCACTGCTGTCCTGAGAGCTTCTTCATGCTGTGCACATCATCTGTCTCTTCCCACCTCCACCCAATCCTCATGTCCCCTGAGAAGCACCATGCAGAAGAGATGCTGTTCTTGTGAGTGTGCTGTGTGCTGCAGGGTGGGTGGAAGAGGATATTACAAAGCAGTGGGCCAGAGCTGCTGGTCTCAGCAAGCCCTCTAGGTCTCAGCAGTCCTGATTTCCAGTGCAGGGTGAAGCTTTCACTTCCCATCTGCCAAGTCCAGGATCTCTGACTACAAACCAGAGCAAAATAGACTGTAATCTGGTGAAGTAACAAGAATTAAGCCAGAAGAAGTAGGGAAAAAGAAGAGAAAGGACAAGCCCTAAATACTTAAGACTGCTTGTAGCACTCTCAACAAGATTGCAAAAGAGCAGCTTTAGCCGAGTGTAGTGGTGCTTGATGGTAGACCCAGCACCCTGGGAGGCTGACTCAAGAGGATTGCAAGTTCAAGGCCAGCTGTTCAACTTTTCAACTTAGTGAGACCCCATCTCAAAACAAGAAATTTAAAAAGGACTGGGTTGAAAGGCTCTGGGTTCAATCCCAGTACTGCCAAAAAATGGGATAGGAAGGGAAGTATGAGCAGCTTTGGAGATTAAGAAAAGATTTAGCTAAAACAAGGAAAGCTTTTATGATAAATAGAAAGTACTTGTGAAGAACCACCAGGCTTTCTTTTTTTTGTTTATTGAGACAGGGTCTTGCTATGTAATTCAGGCTGGCCTTATACTCACTATGTAGCCCAGGCTGGCTTTGAACTCATGGCATTCCTCCTGCCTCAGCCACCAAAGTGCTGGGATTACAGGCGTTCACTACCACACCCAGCCACTAGTCTTTCTAATGGTGGATTTCAGCTGCAGTTGTATCAGTGATCATAGCTAACCTGGATTTTAAAGGAATTTAGGGGTTATCTAGTCCATGTCCGGTTTGTAACCAAGGATATTCCTTGTATAGCCAGCCCCTTGCTTCAGAGCCGGGGAGAGTCTTGGCTCCTGGGTAGGGTTCTAAAAGTAGCTCTTTTTTTTTTTTTTTTTTTTTTTTTTTTTTTT